CTTCTGTTGCCTGCCCACAGCCTTTGGCCTGCACCCTAACATGGCTGGGGCCTGTCTGCATGAGCCCAATGAACCAGTCTCCCTCTGTCCTCTTGGAGGGAATTGATGGGTAATGCAGGACCCAATCCCCGAGTCTGGTGTGAACAGTCTGGATGATACCTGGCATGTTCAGTGCAAAACCTGGGGTATGCTTTTCCTAAAACAGAGTAAAATAATTACCGCTCCAGTTATGCTGGATCTTCCCAGAAGATCTGGAGTCCTCCTTTCATACGTTCACACATGCTTCCCGTTGTGCCAGTCCCAGTGCCATTGCCGCTGCCATGCATTGCTACCTCTGAGGTTGGAATGAGGTGCCCAGCCATGGGACTACAGTGGGTACCTTCTTCTGACCTGAGAGTGAGCGACAGGCAGCAGTGGTGCCTTTGTCCAGTGGGACAGCAAAACACGCATACGAACAGGTGCCCAATGTTAGAATGGACGGTCCCAGGTAACTGGGAAAGGTTGTGTCAATTCCAGGGCTAGGATACTCTGGGCTGCTCCCAGAGTACCCTGATCCATGCAAACACCACCTTTGCCATGTGTCTCAGTTTTCACCTGGGAAATGTTGGAGAACAAGCAATGGCATCCCTAGGGCTGGCATCACCCAGTCCGGTAACTCATGGTGTCACTCCCCCACTGTTCTCCTCCCATACCACGCCATACAGAATCCTTAGCAATGTTTTTTTGTACTAACCTTATTCATAAATCATCATTCCCATATATCACTGGACGTAATGGCAATAGCTGTGACATAAACAACTAGCAAAATTAAAATGTTACCTTTAAATTACGTTGTCGTACGCACAGCTCAAATGTATGTACTAGTACATTGTTTCAGGTGGTTAAATGAAAATTATGTACCATTGGATGTTTTTAAAGAAAAAATTAAAATAATTTAATTTTTTTTTAAAAAAAATAATTTTAATTTTTTTAAAAGGGCCTCTCCTTTCTCTTCCTCCTGAGACTCACCCTACTCACAGCATCTCTTCAGGTGAACACCACAGCCTGTTTCTGCCAAAAGGCAGATGTTTGGGGAGCAGTGGTCTCATCCCCCCCTTAGGATGTGTGGTCCGCATCCCCTGCACCCGCTAGTGATGCCCTTGGACTTACCTACATGTTGACTTGCCATGCAGTAATTGATCCAATGGGCCTATTGTAGTGAAATGGTGAGATAGCACATAGGCAAACCCAATTGATTTGACGAGTCTCCGCAAATTGGGAATAATCTATAGCATTCAGGCAACACCGAATGTCAGCCTGGACCAAAGAGAGAGTACCAACTTGTCCTTGGACTTAGGTAGCAAAATGTTAGGGTCAGCTCTACAGATTGATTCATCCCAATGGATCCTTGCCTGCGGAAAGGTGCAACCTCACTATTTCTCTTTTTCCTTTCCTCACAGGCCATCGCTGTCAGATGATGCAGGATGACCTGAGATATTTTTTTTCTTTTGAACCATGAGACAGAAGCTTCTAATACCTTCCTCTTGAATCAAAATTAGATGCTTATGAGATACATGCTGGAAGACGGGCTGGAAGGAGCTTTGAAAACTCGGCAACTGGGTAGTGGCTAAAGAAAAACTCTGCAGAGGCCAAGAGACCTACAAAGGGGCAACTTTAATCCATCAAACTCTGGCATTTAATTTTGCTGTTGCCCTAAAAAAAAAAGCCGGGCACTCTAATGGCTGGCAACTTCTTTAGTGTTTGTATGGGAGGTGGCGGTGGTGGAATAAAAGGATTGCTTTTAGGAGGGAGAGCTTTTATTGGCCTGCTTTTAAGTTTCAGTGTGCAATAACCTCGGAAACTAGCAATGAGCATTAACTATCGGAAAACGAGACATTCTTATTCAGCAGCCTTTGTGCGGAGACGACACTCACAGGGCACTTGCACTGAACAGCAGCAGATGTCTGAAACCATCTGCTTTTAGCACCAGGAGTTTGTTACGTGAAATCTTCTCTTCCAATTTACACGTTTGGGAACCGGCACTGAACAAAAGCTCCAGGACTGAGCTAGGTACATCAGGAAGTCTCCAGTTTGAATTCATCTTTTTCTCTGTTCACTAGATGGTCTAGACTAGAGCAAGCCATTTTCTTCTCCCTTTGTTAAATTGGTTTACTGGCCTGAGCATTGGTCTAGGACTCTGAGGCTAGATAGCCAGCCTGGTGTAGTGGTTTGAGTGCTGGACTATGACTCTGGAGACCAGTGATCGAATCCTGGCTTGGCCATGGAAACCTACTGGGCAAGTCATACTCTGTCAGCCTTGGCAATACTCCATTAAACAGATCTTTCCAAGAACGCCCTAAGTCAGAAGGCACATAACAACAGCAGCAACAAGACCATGGGTAGAGAAGGTATGTCCTGTAGGTTGTATGCAACCATACATTCCAACTGTCCCGATTTGTCAGCAATAGTTCCAATTAATCCTCTGTCATCCCACTTTTTCAGCTGCTTTAAAAATGTCCCAGTTTCTTTTTCCTCTCCCACTTCTCCCCTTTGTCCACAGCTTACTTTAGCTGCTGAAAAATGCGTTCCTAAGTGCAAAAGTAGCTTTCACTGAATCAATTCAGTAACAGAGAGGAGAGAGAATCAAAAGCAGACTGCTACAACCTCTATTTATTTGCATATTGTTCCTCTTTAATAATTTTTGGCATCTTGACCACCCTCTGGGCCACAAGTATAATTGATTTCATCTCCATGACTGTTCCAGGGGCAGGTAGCATGCAAAAAGTGAGGTCTATCTATCTAATCTATCTATCTATCTATCTATCTATCTATCTATCTATCTATCTATCTATCTATCTAATCTATCACCAATTTATCTTGCTGTTGTTGTTGCTGCTGCTGTTGTGTGCCTTCAAGTGATTTCCGACTTTTGGCAACCCTATGGCTAACCTATCATGGGGGTTTCTTGGCAAGTTTTTGCACAGGGGGTTTGCCCTTGCAATTCTCTGTGGCTGAGAGTGTGTGACTTGCCCAGGGTCAAGTGGGTTGACATGGCCAAGCTGGGATTTGAACCCTGGTCCAACATTCAAATCATTATGTCACACTGACTCTCATCTGTCTATCATCTATCTAATCTTTGTGTGTGATATTGGGCTAAATGGGGCATCAAAATGGCTGAATTTAGACTTACATACTAGACTAATCTTGGGGAAATTCATGGCATCTAAGGTGTCCACTTGCCCTATTTTGCAGAGGGCATTCCTCTATTAGGCCACTTGGTTAGTATTCCCCACTCATGTGATGTTTTGTAATTCTTTTTCAGCTGTAATACTCATTTCTTAGGTCACAATCCTGTCAACGTCTTATACTGAACCACTGTCCAAGGACTTCCGCTTTTTAGGATGCTACAGTGGTGATATCCTAACCAGGGTTGTGCAAACTGACCTAACTGTTGCACAAATGGTTGTGTTGTTTAGCATGTTGTATAGTGGCCTTCCGTAGCACAGACAAGCAATCTTCAACAACATACACCACTTTGTGAATACTTATCAGATTTTTGCACAATGGTGCAAACCAGCATAACTCTACACAATTGTATACCACACAACTGGAAAACAGGATCTTGGCTTGATTTTATATATGTACATATAATTTTATGTAAGAGGGTGCCTTCTTTGTTGTGATCCATGATGTGTTAGTTGTCATGCACTAACACTATACCAAAGAGAAAGCAAATACAAGCAGAAAGCACAAAGAGGAAGCTTCTAATTAAAACTGCAGGGGACCTTTGCTGAGCAAATCTTACATCAAGTAAACACTGAAAAGTATCTTCAGCATTAGGCATTACCAGCTACTATAGTGTTGTACTAACACTATAGTGTTGTACTAACTAAGCATTTTAAATCCCTGATTTGTGTGGGGAACAAAATATCTGTACAGATCCCAAGGGGCTCTTGAGTTTCTGGAAACATGCAATGTAAATATGATTAATTTATAGTTAATATAAATAACAATAATGATATGAAATAGTTTGTTTCAACGTCCTTTCTGATAATCAGAGTTTGGCAAAGCTTATTTTTTGGACTATCCAAGAATCCCTAGCCATCATGTCTGGGAGTTGTAGTTCGCCCCAAACAACATTTTTATTCTGTGTCAAGAACAAAGCCTTCTAAATCGGTAGAAACCAAAACCAGAAGTGTTTATTATTGAAAATATTTACATTATATCTCAGCATCACATAAAAAGCCCCAGAGATAGTCTGCCGCATTATGAAATCCCGATGCAAGCCTTTCAGCTGCACCATCAGTGTTGTTTTCATTGTCTCAGTATCATTTTTCTTTCGTACAAAGGTTCCCTTTAAAAAAGAAAAAAAAACCACCCTAAACAAACAAGAGTTTTAAGGTTCTGGCAAGAGAAAGTAGAGGAATCCCTCAGTTGTTGCTTTCCCAGGCAAAAGCCAAAAAGCTGCTCAACGCCCTTTCAAAACTGGTTGGCAAAGCAGAGATGAAGAAGAAAGAAAGGAAACTATAATCTGGGAGAGACAGAAATACAACTGTGATGGTCTGTTTCAAAGTTTTGTCTCTCAGCTGGATCAACACATTGCACGGAAAGAAAATTTGTATCCTATGGACTCTCCGATCTATGGGTGAGGACAAAGAAGAAGGTCCAGGAGTGCATTTTTCCAGCCTAAAGCCAGAAAGCCTGTTGGGGTTTTATGCTAGAGAAGGGGTGGGCATAGGGCTCATATTTTACCTGCACAATAAAAATATGCTACATCCCTTTGCCCTGAATTGTTAATTCCTATTAGAGTAGACCCACTGAATCAGTGGGACTTACCAATATTGTCAACTATTGGTTTAAAGGGTCTACTCTACCTTGGGCCAACCAACAGGGTTTAAACCTTGGTGTGTTTCTTTGGGATTTACTTCTGAATAAAAGCATATAAGATCTCATTAGTTTTCTGAAGGCTGTGTTCTCTGGCTGGAGCCAACAGATATCTCACAGACAACCAGAAAATTCAACAGAAGTACATTGCCCCCATGAAAGGCGGGTGTATCCTTTGTCAATTTAGAAGAGAGAAGTGGTTGAGTAGTGCTTGAGGAACAGATATGGGATCAGCTCCTACATGGTCACATATAGCATAAAGATTCGCATGTAGAACTCCAATAGGGCTCCCTGCTCACCAACTCCAGCACTCATGGTTGCGTTGAGTCAGCCCCCACTCCCATTCAATTGACCATTCTGTTGTTGGTGGAGGGCAAGGGATGTGATCAGAGAAGTATCTGGCTATATCCCATACCCAGACATAGACCAAGGACATCTTCTATTGAGATCTGCTGAGGTCCTCCAGAGGTCTCAGTGGATGATATCATTGCTTTGCCCTTGGCTACAGGAACACAGCCAGATGATTCTCCAATTTCTTCCACTTTGCACCAGCAATGGAATGGTCATGATGGGGGCCATTATTCCAGCACAATGGTGAGTCCTGGGTGGGGTCTTTAGATGTTGGGGAGGGAGGAAAGAAATACCAACCTCTGCAATGAACAAAGGAATACATATACAAGCATAGGGTGGGCTAAGTCACTAATGATGGCCACAAGGTGTTTAATCTTGGGGACAAAAACCTTACTCCATAGAGAAATCAAAGCATAACAAATAGCCCTGAAATATTCTGAGTCACATCAGGGGAGGTTTCAGAAACCTTAACCAGAAGGGAAGAAATGAAGAAGAATCAGTCTTTACTCCAATTCCTAGAGCCATGTTTCATTATTGTTTTTGGCAACGTGGTTAACATCCTGGGAACATGGGAAGATTTCTTGTTAATTCTTCTGTAATTGTACTCCTTCCACATTTTTCTTCTTCTTTTTTTGGTTGGCTATCTCAAAAAGCAGCATCGTGTCCAAATGGGAAGGTGTCCACAATAATGTAAGAGGTGCCTCACGGTGACAAATTTTAAAAAATGGGGAAGGGATAAAAAGAAAAAGAAAAATAGATTGCAGGGAGAAAAAGAGTGGAGTAGGAAGGATGAGAGAGAACAGAACTCCATAGGAAGCAGATGAAAGCATAGGCCTGTTCACACAGCTGCAGTCTGTTTTATACTGTGAAAGCTAATCCTTGTTGGCGAAGTGGGGATCGACATAGCCCGGGCGACCCGTACTCTCAAGGAATGGTGGTCCTGCCATCGGTGCCATCTTTTCCTGGCTGCAGAACGGACCTGGTTGGAGAAAGAGAAGCAGGAGATGAATATGGGGCTGATCCAGGCATGCTTCCCTACTGGCAATAATTCATTGCCATCATAGACACCAGAAGTGAGGAAAGTGGGGTCCTTGTGACCTCATGTGTCCTCTCTTCATCACAAAAGGGAAGGGTGAATTGTCTTTTTCGGAAGCCTCCAGGAGCAATTCACCTTCTAGATAAGTTGCAGGACTCTATCAAACTGTTTAGCATTCTTCTCTCTCAACAACCTTCACAGGTACATCTGGTGGGAACATATGAGAGGGCCTTCTTGGTGACTGCTCCCAGGCTCTGGAACTCCCTTTCTAGAAAAGCTAGATTAGTATCCTCCAGAGTGTCCTTCTGGCAGCAGGCAATGACTTTCTGGCCTTGAGGAACTGCTTGCTTGTGGGAAAAGGTCTTTTAACAATGTGCTGTGTTGCATGCATTTATTGTTTTTGTAAAAAATGGGTATGTTTGTAAATAGTTTTAATTCTACAGTGGGCCCACGGTATCCATGGGGCTCTGGCTCCAGGATCCTCTGTGGATACCAAAATCCACTGATGCTCAAGTCCCATTATATACAATGGTGTAGTAAAATGGTATCCCTTATATAAAATGGCAAAATTAACACTTGCTTTTTGGATTTTGTGTGTGTGTGTGAATATTTTTGAACCATGGCTGGTTGACTCTGTGGATGGAGAATCCATGGATAAGGAGGGCCGACTATATTTACCATATATGTTAATTTTACTTTAACTTTTCTATGTTTGCAGTGGTGTGAATTTCTATCTGTATCTGCTCTGATATTTCTAAGCACGAGTTCCAGGGCTGGACAATAAGTGACATCACCATCATTGTCCAAAAAATACTGCTTTTTCAAGACCAGAAGTGAACATCTGGCCACACTGGGGGAGGGTTGTTTGTTTTTGGTATTTTTGGCAGTCCATGTGGCCCTTAGTGGGCTCCAAGCAAAAAATGGCCCCTGGGATCTTCACATTTGCCTACTCTGATTTGTATGGGGTACATATGGTGCACGTAGAGATATATGTAAGTACAGTCAGCCCT